AGAGGTTTTCAGCTATAAGCTTTTAATTTTTTTTTTTTCTGTATAACATATTTGCTGATGCCTGTGTAGACAAGTAGCCTTCATGCTGCTTCCCATCTTCAGGCATTTTGCACTGCAAATGCCTAGCACAGAACACCTTTATACATGCAGCTGGCAGACACCTGCACCCCTAGATTGACTTCTGGAAACTCCAAGGACATATTCAACAGCAACATACTGATCTTGTACATAAACAACTGCAGTTGATGTCACAAAACTATTAGGGGATGACTACTGCCTGACCATAGATGGGGAGTACTCATTTTGTACACCAAGCAATGGAGAAATCTCCAAGGTAGCAGAAACCTGAGCTGGCAGGTAGCACAGCAGCAGGTTAATGAGACTTAATGGTTGGGTCCACAGGCAATCTCTTCTCAGAACTGAAGCTTCAGTTAATAAACCATGTTTCCTAAATAGGATTACACTGCTTCTGAACTCAAGATTACGGTTGCCTGGTATAGGTAAGATGAACATTGGCCAATTACCTCAGCAAATAGTCTCAAAAATCCCTCTAACTAAAAGCTGTAATCAGTTAACATTTGAACTATTATTTCAGAGATGCTCTATAAAACCACACTAGGCAGAAAATAGCCACTCCATTAACAGTACAGGGTCATTAGCACAATAATTGCCATAAGAGCCTTAAATGCCAGATCTCACTACCTCATGTCAGGCAGGATTAGCACAGACTCATCACAAACCACACATTTCTTGCAACTTTTATTTATCTTGGCTTTCTGGCAATGTTGTCTGTTTCTTTCTTGGTGCTAGAAGTGCTGGAATGGAAGGAATTTAAGCAAGAAATTGGTTATTACAGGGTGAATCGGGTGCCTGAACACAGATGTTTGATCCATTTTGGCATCTCCTAGGGTGCCTGCCTGGCACTTGAGAAGGTCACAGCCCTCCTGCAGGTCCTGAGTCTAATCTGCCTGGAGACCTCCTCAGGGTATTTCAGGTACCTTTTGGCATGTAGAATGCTGGTAGATCTTACGCTGAAGTGCTGAGTCACTACCTACCTGAGATATTTGCTATTGCCCACCTTCCTCCCAAGTGTGTCTGCATGTCCCCTCTCATGCAGAGTAGCTAGGAAATTGGCACTGGAACACGTTGTCCAGAGAAGCTGTGGATGCCCCATCCCTGGAAGTGTTCAAGACAAGGCTGAATGGGGCTTTAAGCAACCTGCTCTAGTGGGAGGTGTCCCTGCCCATGGCAGGGGGTTGGAATTTGATGATTTTTAAGGTCCCTTCCAACCCAAACCATTCTATGATTCTGTTATTCTAAATTCTGCCAAAATGCTATTTTTATGTACCTTTCTACCCTATCCAAAGACATTCTTGTAATTTAAAGAAGCTATCTGTGCACTTTCTTCTCTTTGCTTGCCCCCCATGCTTCCCAAATAATCATGGCCAAGCCAGCCCATCAGTTATTAACCTCACCTGCTTCCCACATCGCTCCCAAATAATCATGGCCAAGCCAGCCCATCACCTGCTTCCCACATCGCACTGCCGGCCATGCAAGTTCATTAGCACCCCAGCTCTCTCTGTGTGGATTATGCCCAGAGGCAGCCAGGAATTTGGACAAGACCTATAAAACCAGCAGTACATTCAGTACACCAGAATATGGTGTATTCTTATTGACATATCCTTCCCACTGCTCTGACAAGAGGTCCCCAAAGCTCCTGCTTCTGGGCTTAGCCCGGGTGAAGCACCGTGGGTGTCTTCCCACAGGGTGCAAACATGCTCTTAAGCCTTGCTCCTGATGAAGCCAACTGAAGCTTACCCTTTCCCTCAGCAGGTATATAGCTGCAACCTTGGAGCTAACTTACCAATGTGGAAAAGCTACTGTGACAAAATAATTTTGAAGGGCTTCCTTGCAAATGACGGAATAGTTTCTGTGGTATTAAACAGACTTATCCTGCCCATGAATAACTTTATTTTCTCCTGCACTGACTTGATCTAAGCCCCTTGGTAATTGCATTTGCAAAATGGGTTAAGAACATGGATCAATCTGGCTGGCAAGCATTCAAGTCCCTGTAAGCACACCAAGAAAAACACAGAGGTCACATCTTGTTAGTCTAATCATGGAGGTATATTCAGACTTCAAACATTAAGCACTGCCTGTGATTTAGCAAGGATATTAATCTACCATTTTGGGTATAATTGGTAATTCTAATCTGTAAAAAGGTGCAGTATCTATGCAAAGTAAATAAAAATATTCTGGTGATTACTAAGTACAAACTGATGTGTAGGTAGAAAAATACAAGGAGTTCATTGTTTGGGTTCATAAACTGGGAAGAAGTGAAAGTTATTAACAATGCTGTGGCATTGATAATATTGTTAATAGCAGAACTCCATGAGAAGTCAAAAGGTAGTCCTCTTACTTTACAAGGTAGATACTATAATTATTTTGAACTCAGAATGTGTTAAAAGAATATAAGGAGTCCATGGATATCCAGATCCAGTGTTCCTGAAACCCATGCTCCATCATATAATCCCTTTTCTTTAACTGAGCATCCTGTCTTGAATTAGGGTATTAATCTGTTTGCACCTGCTGGGTGACTGTTATGTAGTTGGACATCAATATGTACAACTGCCAACTTAAATCTTCTATTTATCAACAGTTTTTTGTTCCTATGCTAGAAGAGCAATTTAGTGAAACAGCTTTTTCCCATTCCTGCCATTTACCTTCTGGTATATTTTCCAAGCACAGAGTTTCCTTCAGACTGACTTTGGCTGAGCTCAACTGACCCTACTCTTCCAGTTTCCATTTGTAAGACAGTCTCTCCATTCCTCTGCACAGGGTGAAAGCCCTTCCCTATACCCACACCTCTCTGAAGTCACCTTTCTGGAGCCCCGGGGCTGAAGACAAGTGAAGTCGGGTGACCTTGTGCAATGGCACAAGGGCTTCCCATGCTCCTCTGGGGGTACTAATTCTGGTACACACCAGAAACTGCACTTTACTTGCCATGGCCGTGTTGCACTGGTGGCTTGTAGTCATGTGAGTACAAACAGGAGATTTTTCCATTGATTTAGTTATAGAGCTCCCTTCTGATTGTACAGACTTGTTTAAAACCTATATACCAGGACCTAACCTTCATGACTTTACAGTCGCCTAAGTTAGGTCCAAAGTCTCTCTTTTCCCCCCATTTTGCATATATTAGACTTTTGCTTCACCACACTTCCAATGTGATAATTTCCATTTCTGTAACTTCATTCCCATTTGCCATTTTGCCCTCCTGTTCGGCATCATCATCCTCACTGAACACAAATGAAAATGAATTGTACTTGCAGGCCATGCTTAGCAGGCTTCCTCTCTTCTCTTTTGGTGCATATGGCTAAAATCTCATTCCGATTTTCTTTGCAGGGTTTACCTCAGCCTGCTGTTCAGCAGATCCTGCTTTACACCTGTACTGTCTGGCACCTGTTATTTCTGAAAATTTGCTGGTTTGAAGTTGAAAGCCTCATTTAGAAGCTTTATTGGTTTTTGGGGGGTGTTTTTGTTTGCTTCTTGTTTTTTTCCTACCCTTCCCTTCAATTTACGTGAAACCAGTGCAAGATCCCATAAACCAAAGTAATATCACATAGCGGAAACCTCCTGAAATAGAACAAGGAAAAAGGGGATATAGGTGAGTGTGGTTGCTGTGTAAAAGCTTCATGATGGCTCCTGCAAGCTTAAGTTCACAAGTTACCTCAGGCTAACACAGATATGCCTACAGCCCGAGCAGTAGCCCTGACAAATTGGTGACTACCTTGGCAGATGGTCAGGGAAGCTGAATTGCCTCCTGAGCCCTACACGTGTGCTGTTCAGCTCTGGCACAGGGTGTCTGCGGGCAGCCTCTGCAAAGCGCCATCAGAAGGTCTCACCACCACCTGGATGTGACTCACCAGAGCACAGATGCCCCTTGCACCTGGATTTTCAGTCCCAGGAGCTACAACACCCAGAAGCACTGCACTGCAATAGGGTGAACACATTTCTCTGCATGCTGGGAAGTCTGTACGGTAGGAGGACGGAACCCAAAATGCCCCTTCCACAGAAACAAGATTGGACAATTTGACAAGCTTCTTGAATGCAACTCATTAAAAAAAATCCGACTTTGAAATCTGGACAAGGTGAGGGTCTGTGCTCCTCGATTTGAACGCTAAGCAGCCATAAATACCTCCGCAATGCAGGCACGCACAGTGACCTGGCTCCAGATTGCCACGGATATCCCCTCTGCAGGGCAGGCAGCTATTAAAAGCTTGCTGCCTGTTATCCCCTTTAACTCCCTCGGATGCGGTGTAGTGAAGCAGAGCATGCTGGTATATCGCCCAGATACAGTGCCTACAGATGTCCTAACAAATAAACCCTCCTTCAGGACTTGGTTACGAGCACTTGAGATAAGTTCACAAAGAGAGTCTGCGGGAATGTCTCTCTCAGGCTGCTCTTCAGGGCGCATTTCCTTTCCTTCACCACCTCTCTCCCCATCCTCATAATCACTGTGCAAAAGAGAGATGCAGTCTGTCACTCTGTGATGCTAGAAAATAATGAGTACCATCAGGAATTCTGCTTGTCTTCCATAAAAATCTCATAACTGAGAGCTATTTTATAAACCCCTGTCAGTTCTGTGCCTATAATTCTTCTAAAACTACACCCATCAGCCATCATTTCTCCACTCGGGCTCATAATTCCTTCTCTCCTCATACTTTTAAACAACTATCTCATCTCACATCACTCTGCATAAACTAGGGTTGACTGATATCTGGAGAGTATCATCCACTGCCTCCTTGATTAGTTACACACACAGCAAGGGGTTTCAGGTTCTTTCTTTAGAGGTACTGTCCTGGCTTCTTCTCCTAGGATAGAGGAAAAAAAAACCAAAACCCAAAAAAGCCTCCTTTTCTGCCCGCCATTGCAGGTTAAGCTTTCCTGCACAAGCCCAATAAATGTGCTTCTGTTTTCCCTGTGTACTGGACTTGACTTACCTGCAAAAGGATCCTGTTTCCATCGTGGTCTTCTGTCTGCCACCTGCCTTCACTGATGGGGCTGCAAGGGTTGGGCAAGAGAGGCACAAGCTGCCCCACGTCTTTCACTCTGAACTCCAGCACCGCTGACTCTGTCGGCGTTGGCACCTGGCCCTTCGGAAGTTTTTTTAAAGAAAACTGAATGTCTATTTCCACGTTAGAATAGACAGGAAAAACACAAAAGTCCGCTTTTTTCTGACACACTGGTCTTTTCAGTATAAGCTCGTACAATTTCAAGATGTCGACAAAGTTTTCGCTCCTGCAGTATATAGTGAAGCGGATAATTTCTTTCCCGTAGTGCACTGGGCGAATGGCCCACAGAGGAGTCTCTGGAGCCAACGTGTAGAAGTCCTGGCTGCACGGCATGTAAGGGAGGAACTTCCTATGCACTCGCTCTGTGTGGTGGTAATGCCAAGGCGGCCGCTGAAAGGTTTCGTGGAGCTGCAGGATCGGTTCTTCTCCATATTCCTCCTGCAGAAACAGAACGACGGCGAGGGCTGGCTGAGAGGCACCAGCCTTACCTGGCTTCCTGCGCTTCTTGGGCACTCGCCGTTCCGAGACTCGGAACAACTGGAGGTCTGGATGGATCCAGGCTAGAAGCTTATCGATGGCTTGCTGAAGAGTCTTGGATTCACCGGGGTCTGTGATAATATGTACACTAACAAGAAACGGGTCTTGTATGCCTTCCACGGAAAGTTCACCTGAGAGTATAAAAAGAAAAAACACCCTTCAAGATCTGTAACCAAGTTGTCAACGTTTAGGAGAAACAGTCTACTCAGTCACACCAGGCTTCTTTTTCATCTCTCTGCAGTAAACTGAAAATAACGTACTGAGATGTAGCAACCAAGAAAATAATCAAAAGACGGGGGAGTTTCATCAAGCATAGCGTAAGAGCTGCTGTTTCTACTGAGGTGGCATCCAAAAGATGTTACCCTATGTGCATTTCTGTGTTAGAAAAAAGCTGCCCCACACAGCTGAGAGATAGAAAAGACAAAAATACTGACGCAGAGTGGGGGTGAATGGGACGCTAATGATGTGCAGAACAATTAGGATGGACAATGTTCATCCCACCTTGTTTTAATTTGTGCCAGTTGGCTCGGGGCATGGAAATCACACCACTGAACTCCGGTCTTATCACCTTGACATTGGAGTTTTCCACCCGGTTAAGAGTGTTCTGTATCCTGGAAGCAACTTTTTAATAAGTTAGACAAAGTTTGTAGGGAGAGGTAATATCTTTTATTAGACCAACTGATACAGCTGGGAAAAAAAACAGACAAGCCTTCAGGCACACAAGTGCTTCTTCAGGAAAAGATATTACTTGTCCTTACAAATCCTGCACTGTTTATATCTTCAGACCATCAAGACTATAATACTACCGCTTCAAGGTTTTTATAAGATTAGGGAAGACTGGTAAAAATCAGGAAGCACAAAAAAGTTACACCTGCTCAGGGGAAAACAGAAACCTCCAGTTAGCCCTGGGAATGTTCACAAGGACTCTATCTGTTCTTGTCCCTGAAACCTCTTCGACAGCTTAGAAGCAGAGCAATGTCTGGTTGGAGGGGAGGGGAGAAATTGTCACTTCTGTTCTGCTGGAGTTGTGCGCCAATAAAGATGCATGTGAATGGAGATCCAAGAGAGTTTGATAAATTATCCAGGTAATCTGGATATTTTTGCTGAAACGGTTCCCCCTGTGTGGTGTTCTGAAACTGAGATCCTGAGCCTGGGCACAAAGCCCAAATGTGTGAAGCCTTAGAAAGGCTTCCCAAGCTTTTCACTGCACAGACCACATTTAATAGGGGGATTGTCTCGCAGGCTGTTTCCCCTCCTATTGGCAATCAGTACGAATCTCTACCTCCTCCCTCCTGGCATCAGAATAACATTCCTGTGATACTTCAGCAATTGCTTTAATGGAAAAACAGCATTATACAAGTAGTGTATTTAAGTTGTCTTTCAATACAGAATATCTGTGAGACCAGAGAAAAGCTAGATGTGACTGTGTAGCTTTCCAGAGGTGACCGGTAAACACACCATCAGCCTCAATTTAGAAGCTGCAGAAAGATATGGTATGCAGAGCAAACAGCGAGCATGCATTTTGCCTAGGGGAGACACAGAAAAAAATCAACTAAATCATCAGAAATACAATTACAGCAGAGTTCTCGTATCTCTGCATGAAATGGGTGATGTGGAGTGACTCTGTCAGATGGTCAACGGAAGAAAAAAATTGAGGCAAAAAAAAATATCTGTGTCAGTATACGGCAAGAGGCTTTGCTGTGGCAATTGTTACCGGTAGGTACTTCTTTGAGATATGCCCTGTGGATAGTCACAGTGTGGGAAAAAGACAAAAGGGTGCGGGGGGAGGTTGTCTCGTGGTCCTTTACACGGGACAGCAGGACAGGAAGGAAAACAAATTGCAGAGGACAGTGATCTAATAAAACCAGAAAGAAAGTAATCGCCATAGCTACGCAGTCATTCATTTTCTGAGACTGGAACAGAAGATGTTCAGCTCTTTTCTCCCTCCGTTTCCTTTGTCACACAAATGCTATCAAAGCCTGCAACAAGTGACAGGCTTGATATTTATGCATATAAATGACTGCAGCTCTGAAAGAAGCCTGGGCACAACAACAATGTGAAGCAAAGAGCCATCGTTCCTGTCGGCTTCTTGCTCTGCGTTGAAAAAAAATGAAAACCAAAAAACAATCCCTGAGCATGGCTTTTCTGCCCCCCTGTTGCTCCGCGTGGTGCACGGACACTGAATGGCTGAAGCATTTTTCAAAAGTGGAGCCCTGTGGGAGCCAGCCCCAGCATTAGTATTCTGCAGCTATCGCTGCCTGTGCCCATCAGCACCAGATGCTCACAGAGCCAGCCTCAGAAGACCACCGAAGCCCAGCACAAAGCCATCGTTTGGAGCTAGGGTTATATGTACAGCAGAGCAAATAATCTTTTTTTATATTTATTTTTTTAAAATTTTTTTTAGCTAGAAGCAACTCTGCTGGCAGGGGGAAAGTATAACAAATCAGTATAGAAAGAGCTTCTGGATCTATTTTATGTTAGCAAAGATGCTTTTACTGCAACACTTTTCCACCTTTCATTGTGTGGCTTCTGTGCTTATAAAATGGCAGCCCTTTCGGCTCTGGTAGGAAAAAGAGAGACATAAGAAAAGCAGAAATAGGAGGCAAGGAGCTATGAGAAACTTCCCCTGAACTGATGATAAGTTGCAAATTGTTTCTATGTTACTAACAAGCCTTTTTCCTTCAACTGACAAGGAAGGGGGGGAAACGACACCATTTCTCATGACACAGTTCAATTTGCCCTCGGCGAATTGTCACAGAAGCAAATGAAAGCTCTGCATATGTATTAGCCTTCCTGTGTTACTAGTTAATCCCACAGAAAATATCAAAATGCTGAGGCATCTATTTGAAAATAAGCTCCACAGTTCTCACAGCTATTACATTTTTTTTTTCCTTTCCTATGACAGAAGGGGATTAGTTCTCTTTGAGCTGGCAAAGCAGTAACATTGCTAAGAGGTAATTACTACCAGGGTTGAAAGAGTAGTTCACAGTTCTAAACTTTTTACTCCTCTGTTCGGTAGCATTAACCACCCATGAGAGGTTAAAGCAAACAGTCAACCCAAATGCTGTGGGGCTGTCACACTTGATGTCCTAAAGCTGGGAGCTGACGGCGGCCTGATATCTTATGATTGAGCTTTGGATGGGTTCTTCTCTACATATTATTTTTATTTTGTTGCTGAGTGGAGAAAAAAAGGAAGTCCTGGGAAGCTGAACGGCACTCTTGCCCTGTGGTTCTTCCTCCCCTCCTCTCCCTGCCCAGAAATCAGGATCTTTTAATCAGAAAGACCATCTGACAGAAAGCAGTGGGTGCTGTCACATCTGTCTGTGCCTGCTGCCTCATTTCAGTACAACGTCACCGAAATTCAAGCCCCCTTGTCTTTAGGGACAGACAGGACAGGTACTTCTCTGTCTAGCCCACCTGCCTACATCCCCTGCTGAGTGCACAGAGAGCGGCTGCTACCTCTGAAAAACCTGTGGATGATAATCTTACATCCCCCCTCACTCTGTAGGTGCCTGCAGAGGACAACCCTCTTGGCATCCAGAGCTGACCAGAGGTGCCTAGAGGGAACGCTATGACAACAGTGGCTACCTAATGACACAAACACCCATGGGTGAAGTGGGAAGCAATGGGTTAAGTGCTCTGCTGCCTTGGGATGGCAGGGAGGCACACATCTCCCCTGAGAGGTGCCATGAAGACCCAGGTATCTGGTAACACCATCCTTGCTGCAGCTGGTCAGGAAGGCAGGGCTCGCGGCCCAATGCTGGCACAAGCAGGTATTGCTTCAGGTCAGCAACCCAAGCAGCTGGGAAGCAGCGAGGGTCATCTGGAGGTACAGGGAACTGGAGCTACATCTCCTTCTCCCTGGAGCATGCATGCATTTTACATTAAACCACACAAGAGGTGATTCTTCCTCTTTACTCTGCTCCTGTGAGACCTCACCTGGAGTATTGTGTGCAGGTCTGGAGCCCTCAATATAGGAAAGACATGGACCTGATGGAGCTGGTCCAGAGGAGGGCCGCGAGGATGATCCGGGGTTGGAGCACCTCTGCTACGAGGACAGGCTGAGGGAGCTGGGGTTGTTCAGCCTGGAGAAGAGAAGGCTCCAGGGAGACCTAATAGCAGCCTTCCAATATCTGAAGGGAGCCTACAGGAGAGTTGGAGAGGGACTCTTTGTCAGGAAGTGTAGTGACAGGACAAGGGGTAACGGTTTTAAATTGGAAGAGGGGAGATTTAGATTAGATACTAGAAAGAAATTCTTTACAGTGAGGGTGGTGGAGCACTGGAACAGGTTGCCCAGGGAGGTGGTTGAGGCCCCATCCCTGGAGATATTCAAGGTGAGACTCGACGAGGCCTTGGGCAACCTGGTCTAGTTTGGGGTGTCTCTGCTGACTGCGGGGAGGTCGGACTAGATAACCTTTGGAGGTCCCTTCCGGCCTGGAACATTCTAGATTCTATGATTCTACGATTCTAAGAGGTAAAATTTTCACGCTGAGGTGTGCTGCTTCATGGGAACCAATGCCTGAACCTCCCTGACACTGTACGGACTAGATTCCTTTATCACTCCGTTAGGCATTAAGATTTCACATTTCATTCTGACCAGATTGCATGATGCGCTACAGGAGATGTAAAGCAGGCAATGGGAGAGTGTCAAAATGTGCCAAGCTCCTGAACTGCAACTCCCATCAAGAAGTGCTTCATTATCAGGAAATAATTGCAATCAGGAGGTAATGAAATGATTCAAAACTGAACACTATGGATCAGCATACTTTTTTCATTGTTAATAAATCAGAATATTTCAATTGTAGGAATGTAAAAAAAATGAAATCATTGTACAAATACTGTCAGAAAACAGCACTATGATATTTCCTAACTGAAATTTCCTGAGATTTCTGTTGCACAGAAAATGTCAATATTTCACTACTTCAATCCCATTCCAAAACCGAAACAAATGTCAAAGTGGTAGCATTTCTCACTAAGCAGGACCTTCACGTTTTATCTGAGTTCAAGACAAGACTGACCGTTTTAGGTGTGTTAATTGAAAGGCTGATGGGCAGACACAAAGACTGAGGCTATTTTCATAAACAGAGAGCATCGCTTTATGGGCAGCTGCACAGAAGTGTATACTTGCCAC